TCTCAATAATGAATGTAATGTGCTGCATTTCTCTTCCTTATTTTCTCTTCGGTGGAGGATAATCCGCATCACCTTTTACTCTCTTTCTCTTCTTCCTCGTCGTTTTCCAGCTGATCTTCTTCAATAGATGTTGTAGTTTGGAAAATAATTAAAATTATCACCACAATCGGTGACCACTATTGCAAATGCGCGACACAATTAGAAAGGATTAAATTTGCATTTGCATTTTAATCACTTTGACAATCAAGTTGAAACAACTTTTCAGTTTTTTGGATTAGAAAAACTGGTTGCTTTTTTACAATAAAAGCAGTTTACTAATTTTCAAAAATTATTTATTGTGTTTGTCTTTATTTAGTCTTTTTTAAAAATTCTTTCATAGCCTCATTCACCTCTTTAGGCTTGTGAACTTGAATCCAATGTGAGCAGTCAGGGAGGTATTTTACCTCTGCATCTTTGCAGAAGGTGGCCGAATCAGTAGCCAGTTCACTAATCAGTGCATCATCTTCTTCTCCCCACAGAATCAACGTTTTAGGCTCAACTAAACTTTTTGACCCCTTTTTGTTCTCTTGGCCTCCGTTTTTTCGCAGTCCATATCCTCGAAGCATCGCTCGGTAGTAGTTGAGTGGCCCTTCCACTCCGTAAGGCTTTGCAAAGTAGTACTTATAGGCGTCCATCTCTTCTGCGCCTTTGTTGTGCTTCCCAAACATGCTCTCCAGTACTTTAAAGTCCCGATTACGCATAAACAGCTCTGGCAAGAGTGGAAGGTTGAAGAAGAACATATACCAGGATGAGCGGAACTGCCGCCAAGAGGTGGCAAGACGGCCTTGCCAGGCTTTAGGGTGCGGTGCATTGAGGGCAATGAAACGGTGAACAAGGTCGGGGCGGCGTTGGGCGACGTTCCACGCTATGACGCCGCCCCAATCGTGTGACACGAGAATGCACTTGGGATTCTCCTTCGTCACCAGAGAGCTAATCACCCCGACGAGGTCTTCGTAGAGCAGGTCTGCACTGTAGTGCTTAACACCAATGGGTCGATCGGAGTCGCCGTACCCTCGCATGCTGACGGCCACCGTGTGGTACTGTGGGCTGAATGCCCTCATTTGATGGCGCCAGGTGAACCAGCACTCAGGGAAACCGTGTACGAACAGGATCAGTTGCTTGGACTCATCTCCGGCACTCACGTAGTGCAGTTTGATATTGGTTTTCGGCAGGCGAATGCTTCGGTGTGTTCCATAAGCATCGAGCACTTTTGGTCGGTGTATGCCTTCTCGGTCTTTCACCGCAAAGAAGGCCGAGCCATGGCGGAGCATCTTTGGCGCCAGGCGAAGGGCCACCATTCCACCGTAGAAAGCAGAGAGTCCAACGCTCAGCAGCTGACCTCCAGTGGACTTCATTGAGATGTACGAAAAAGGTGACTTCATGATGGCTGTGTTCGGGTTTTTGCAGATTGACACCACTTTTAATTCAAGTTTTTAAGTCACTCACTGAAATGAGTCCATGTGCGCTTTCAAAACACAGACAATATAACAGACGGTGATTGTAGTGTCGAGCAGTGAAAACACTGCATCTTTACTGTTTTGTCACTGTAAGTACATTTTAAGTACACTTTTGGTACGATATCGCATAAAGCTGAGCAAAATACAATTTTTTTGTCAGTTTAAAACTTTACTTTTATTATTCTTTAGGAAAATGTGTTTTGTTTTTTACAAACAACTAGGAAGTGTGCAATGTGAACTATCTGAACTAAAAATGTCAACTTTTGCTTAGTACTTGAAACGTGCCGTCCATACGCTGCTCAGTTGAAGTGATGTCACCGAATGATAAAACAAAAATTTACATTTTTATGGATCAACTTTGTTGCTTATTAAAAAACGAGTTTTATTGCATTTCAAGTTGATAGCTTGTGTGTGCGTCAAAAGAAAAAATATATGTTTTTTGACTTTTTAATAAAATCGTAATAAAAAAATAATTTTAAAGTTTACATTAACTGAACAAAGTTAATAGCCTCCTTTTGTTCCGGTGGAACCAGAAGAAATGGGAACACTGACAGGCAGAGAAATTGCACCATTTCTGTTGAGTGAATTTCCACTAACAGTATTGTAGGCAATTGCGCCATTGCCATTACTACCAGTCCCAGCACCAATGGCAGCACCAAGACCAGCTCCAGTGCCAGCACCGTTTCCGCCGCCATTTCCACCAGCAAAGCCTCTTGAGTTGAGATCAAGACCAAGGCCTGAAAGACCGCCTAATGAAATGGCCGCATTGCCTCCAGTATTTCTAATTTGTGGTGCACTCCCTCCACTTTGTCCACGACCTTCAGACNCAAAGACTGAGCTCGGGCAACGATTGTTTCAATTACCTCCTAGAAAAAAAACTAAATTAGATAAAACAGAAAAAAATAACTTGAACGCACTTGAACGGGGTGAATTTCCTATAAAGTAAAATAAAATTGTTAAATGAAAGATTTTTTAAAATTTAAAATAGTCGCACTAACTTGAACAATTCTGCGCGACGGAAGGATAATCTCCCTATGTTTTGATAAATTGATAAAATAAAAAAAATTTAAATAATTATTAAAATAATAATTAGTACAAAAATTAAATATTAAAAATAATTTTTACAACTACTTACCTAACCTAATCAACCAAAAGTGACCAGAAGTAAAAAATAAATTATGAAGAATTATGTTATAACTTGAATTTTTTTAAAAAAGAAAATTAATTTGCTAAAATGTGGAGTTTCCTGCTTTCTCATCAAAATGTGTTTCTTTTGGGCTTTTTTGTGTATATTTTTAAAATCACACATTAGGTAAAGAGTGCAAAAAAGCCCACACGTAAGTAAATCAATTTTTTCCCTAGCACCACTTTTTAATAATACCTCTTGAATAACTAAAAATATAAATTAATTAGTTTTTTGCCTTTAAAATGATATGTTTTATACGTACTAGGACGTCGCACAGTGTTTCGTAATATGGATACTGGCTCTTCTGAGTTAGTTTCTTGAATTTGACCTCCCCCAGTTGACACATGCTGTTGTCGCACCTTTAAACGACTGGTGGTTGACTTGAAGACCAACTCAAGGGGTAGATCTCCACCGTCGACCTCAATGATGGCTGGTTGAGTGAGCTCATTGCTGGTCATTACCGGTCTCGTCTCGACGGTGTGTTTTGTGAAAATGGCTGCCTGGTAACGACCAAGACCACCACCACCGCCACCACCTCCACCGCCCAAGTAAGAGCCGGCACTATTTCTTGCTGGACCGCTGAGTGATATTGGTCCAGCAATGTTAACGCCACCGCCGCCATTTAGAGAAATACCGCCTGCGCCAGAAGATGCATCATAGCCACTACTACCGCCACTGCCTGTAGACTGCGGTACAGCCAGAGATATTCCCCCGGCCTCGTTTCCACCATAGGCAAAGCATTTCACCAGAAAAAGAGAAGAAACGAAAATTATCTATAAGTATAAAATAAAATAATTATAAACACGCAACAAGTATAAACGTTCTTACTCTGAAAAACTTCATTTTTTATGCCAGTACAAATGTGAACAGAGAGCACTAGTGACAAACTTCCTTTTCTCAGCTTTTATATCAATGTAGTGGTAATCGAAAGGACTCTCACTTTCTTCAGTCAAAATCCCCTCAAAAGGTGGTGCCATTAAAAGGTTACAAACAACAAAACTGTCAACAGTCAACAGGTTACGTAATTAGTGCAATACTGAGACTGAAATACTCTGTTTTCCGGTTTTTGCCGATCAACTGATAAAAGATCACACTAAAGTTGATGCTGCTGCTAGTGTTGCTAGTCTAGCCGTTGATTTGGCAAAATTTATTGCGGAAATATACTTTTGTAAAAGTGCTTTTAATTATGCTTAACGAGTCACTTTGGTTTAAAGTTGCACGACTAAAAATATGATCATTTTTGCTTTACACAATTAAAAAATATAAGTTTTTCATGGCAAGAATAATCAATATTTGGCAAAAAATCTAATTTTAAAAACTTTTGAAATTATGTGGTGGCAACAGTTTATTTTAAATTACTTGTAATCATTTATAAATAAAAATGCTGATGAAAGATGAATGATAAATAGAGGAATGATGAAAGATGATGAGAATAAGAGTGTAAGCGTGTTTTGGCCAGTGCAAAGTGACCGCCTTTGCTGATGAACCACCAGGTAATGCAAGACTTTGTGGGGTAAATGACCACTAAAGGTGGGAAGCTTAGTATCGCTTCTGCTCAAAACTTTCAAAGTTAGAGCTACCACCCGAGCTGCCACCACCTCGAGAGAAACCGCCGCCTCCTCCTTGACTGCCACCTCCGTAGCTGCCTCGACTGGCACCGCCACCACCAGTACTTTGGCCGCCCCCGCAACCGAAACCTGATCCGCCGCTTCCACAGCCGCCACCAGTTCGGGAGCCTGAAGATTCGCTGCTTCCTGAAGAGCTGCTTCCACCGCTACTTCCACCACCGCCGCCTCGTCGGCCTTCGCCCTTGGAGACGATCTGTTGATAAAATGGTAGTGAGTAAAGGCATAACGTGAAAAAAGACGATTTTGCTTACCGTGTGAATTTCCTCCTGTTTTTGCAAAAGTCAAAAAAAATAATTAAATTAAATGAAAACAGATTGTAACAGGGTACGTACTTGAACGGGCTCAATCTGCTGAATAACTCGTCTGTGT